AACACTAGATTGTGTGCTCCTTTGTGTGCTAAGACTGTTCTATATTATCTTTATCTGTCCTCTAAAGAACTTGGGAATTTTTTATAGCCATATACTGTATACTATATTGCCAAAAGTATTGGGACACGCCTCCAAATCATTGGATTCAGGTGTTCCAATCACCTCCATGGCCACAGGTGTAAAAAAAAATCAAGCACCTAGGCATGCAGACTGCTTCTACAAACATTTGTGAAAGAATGGGTCGCTCTCAGGAGCTCAGTGAATTCAAGCGTGGTACCGTGCTAGGTTGCCACCTGTGCAAGAAGTCCATCCGTGAAATTTCCGTGCTACTAAATATTCCACGGTCAACTGTTAGTGGTATTATAACAAAGTGGAAGCAACTGGGAACAACAGCAACTCAGCCATGAAGTGGTAGGCCATATAAAATGACAGAGCGGAGTCAGCGCATGCTGAAGTGCACAGTGCGCAGAAGTCGCCAACTGTCTGCAGAGTCAATAGCTACAGACCTCCAAACTTTGTGTGGCAGGTTCAGATTAGCACAACAGTGCGTAGAGAGCTTCATGGAATGGATTTCCATGGCCGAGCATGCTGCATCCAAGCCTTACATCACAAAGTGCAATGTAAAGCGTCGGATGCAGTGGAGTAAAGCACACCGTCACTGGACTATAGAGAAGTGGAGATGTGTTCTTTGGAGTGACGAATCACGCTGGTGGAGGGGGGATTATGGTGTGTGGTTGTTTTTTAGGGGTTGGGCATGGCCCCTTAGTTCCAGTGAAGGGAACTCTTAAGGCATCAGCATACCAAGACATTTTGGACAATTTTGTGCTCCCAACTTTGTGGGAACAGTTTGGAGATGGCCCCTTCCTGTTCCAAAATGTCTGCACACCAGTGCACAAAGCAAGGTCCATAAAGAAATGGATGAGTGAGTTTAGTGTGGATGAACTCGACTGACCTGCACAGAGTCCTGACCTCAACCCAATAGAACGCCTTTTCGATGAATAAAAGCAGAGACTGCGAGCCAGGCCTTCTCGTCCAACATCAGTACCTGACCTCACAAATGCGTTTCTGGAAGAATGGTCAAACATTCCCATAGACACACTCCTAAAACTTGTGGACAACCTTCCCAGAAGAGTTGAAGCTGTTATAGCTGCAAAGGGTGGGCCAACTCAATATTGAACCCTACAGACCACAACTGGGATGCCATTAAAGTTCATGCGCGTGTAAAGGCTGGCGTCCCAATACTTTTGGCAATACAGTGTATAGGGATGATTATTATTATTACATAGTATTTATATAGCGCCAACAGTTTGCACAGCGCTTTACAATATAAGGAAGACATTACAATCACAATACAATTCAAGACAAGATGGTAAGGAGGGCCCTGCCCCTGGGGGGCTTACAATCTAAAAGGGGAGGGGGAAGTGATACATGAGGAGGTAGCTGTGTGGGGATGAATTGTTTGAGAACGTGACGGTTCAGTGGTTAGTTAGAGGTGGGATAGGCTTCCCTGAAGAGATGAGTCTTTAGGGAACGACTAAAGGCATTGAAGGTGGAGACAGACGGATAGGTTGGGGTAAAGAGTTCCAGAGGATGGGAGAGACTCTAGAGAAGTCCTGAAGGCGAGTATGGGAGGAGGTGACGAGGGAGCTGGAAAGCAGGAGGTCTTGGGAAGAGCGGAGGGGGCGGTTAGGGTGATACTTTGAGACAAGGTCTGAGATATATCCGGGGGCAGAGTTCTGGATGGCTTTATATGTGAATATTAATATTTTGAATTTTATCCTCTGGGCGTGTGGAAGCCAATGGAGGTATTGGCAGAGGGGGGATGCAGACACTGAGCGGTTGGTTAGCTGAATGAGTCTAGCAGCTGCATTCATGATAGACTGAAGGGGGGATAGCTTGTGCAGTGGAAGGCCAATGAGGAGGGAGTTGCAATAGTCAAGACGAGAGATAAGGGAGTGGATGAGTAGTTTTGTGGTTTCATTGGTGAGGAAGGAGTGTATTTTGGAGATGTCACGTAGGTGAAGGTGGCAAGATTTGGATAGTGATTAGATGTGGGGAAGAAAGGTGAGGTCCGAGTCAAGGATGACACCTAGGACTTTGGCATGAGGGGAGGGCTGGATAGTTGTGTTATCAATCTCAACCGAAATGTTGGGGGAAGGTGCACGGGTAGGAGGAAATATCAAGAGCTCAGTTTTTGAAAGATTGAGCTTTAAGAAATGTTGTGACATCCAGACGGATATGTCAGTTAACAGGTTAGGAAAATGAGGGGGCGAGTTGTGGAGTGGAAAGATAAATTTGAGTTTCATCGGCATAGAGATGGTATTGGAAGCCATGTGAGCTTATTAACTGACCAAGGGAGGAGGTGTAGATGGAGAAGAGAAGGGATCCTTGGGGGGACTCCCTACAGAAAGAGAAAGAGGAGCGGAGGAGTAAGATTTGTAGGTGACACTAAAGGAGTGCTTTGATAGGTAGGAGGAGAACCATGAGAGAGCATAGTCTTGTAGGCCAAGCGAGTGGAGTTTTTTGAGGAGCAGTGGGTGGTCAACAGTATCAAAAGCAGCAGAAAGGTCTTATAGCAAGAGTAAGGAATAGTGGCCATTGGATAATCATGAGGAAATCATTTTTACTGTCAACAATACTAATGTATTGCATGGCAGTCAGCCTTAAAAAAAGTCCAATAGTGTCAAGGAAGAGGTTGCCTTCAGATGCAATGTAAAAGTAGATGCAGCATCAGCTATCTTTACTTCTGTTATGCCAGGTCTGTATAGATGAGCAATTAATGGAAAATTTGCAGAATGGACATTACTACTTACTCCTCCAGGTGAATGCTGGGCTTGCCTGGCATGGTAGCTCTAGTGGTAAAAAGTGGTCCTAGTGCATCATTTTCACCCCATCACTGTGAGCCTAGTACCATCAATCCCCCCACCCAACTAGAGCTTAGAAAATATGATATATATCCTATTTAAAGCAGAACGCCATGGAAAATTATTATTAACCCTTGCAGTGGGTCTACTCCCACACTGCAAGGGTTAACCACTTCTTTTGGTCTAGGGTGGAAAATAACTAAGCTATACTTACCCATTCCTCGTTGCCGGCAGACTATAGCAGCGCTCCCTCCAGCCTTTCTCCTCCTATACGTCAGCAATGGAATGTTCCTCAGCATGCTCACAATCTATACATTGGGGGGAATTTATCAAAACTGGAGCAGACAGAATCTGGAGCAGCTGTGCATGGCAACCAATCAGCTTCTCTCTTCAGTTTGTTCAGTTAAGATTTGAAAATGAAAGAGAGAAGCTTATTGGTTGTCATGCACAGCTGCTCCAGATTTTGTGTGCTCCAGTTTTGATAAATTCCCCCAATGTATAGATTGTGAGCATGCTGAGGAACATTCCATTGCTGACGTATAGGAGGAGAAAGGCTGGAGGGAGCGCTGCTATAGTCTGCCGGCAACGAGGAATGGGTAAGAAGGAGGAAAAAGCGATGGTGGCATGTTGCCAAATATATGGCTTGTGACTCCTGTTAGCAGCCCCTGAAATTGTATTATTTGCAGCAGTCCTGCTGTCCTAAGCCTCATGGCAAATAAAGCTGTGTCAGATATATCACTACACTAGTGGCATTAGATTGTGGCATTTGTGATGAGCAGAACTTACCTATATAATCATTAGATTTTCCAATATCATAGTCCCATACGGATATGTCCAGTTGTTTTTTTGCAAGATCGCTGTGCTTTATATCAAAGAAAAATTCCTGGAGGAAAAAGCACACACAATATGAAGCTTATAGTAAACCTTTATAAGAATTCGGGTGATAAAATCAAGAGGGAAAAATATACTGATTTTAAATCTTAGTTTTCTTAAAATTATAACCAACAAGCTTCAGGAAAGCGGTTTGCAGTTAACTATAAGTAATGTCAGTCACTTCTCTGGACCGGCAGTAACAATGCCGACCACTAGATGGCTTCTGCTGTCCTTCTTTATTCCTTCTTATCATGACTAAGGGCCTGTTCACATGATTTTCAGGTCCTGATCAGTTCTGGATCAATACATTATGTCTGTGGCTAATGCTGCCTGGAGATTCCTCCCTCCCCCAGTTGTGTCTGCAACGAAATTTTTTCAGTAATGGATGTTGCACAGTCTTGCACACTGACTGCAGCAGCCAGCTGGGGAGAACAAAGAGGGAGGCGGGTGGTGGGTTGTCATATATGGACAGAGGGGACAAGAGCACCAAATATTGAGAAGAAAGGGAAATCTACCTGCATTATATTAACCCCAACATATGACAAACTTTATTTGGATTACATGACCAGCATACAATACAGTTAGTCAACATACAAGATGTAAACATTAAATTTTATTTTTTTTGCTTAGTTGCATTGCGTTCCGTTTCCGTTCTGTTTTCGTTGTGTTTTTGCCGCGTTCATGCGTTTCCTGACCGGACAAAATGTGACATGCAGTATTTTTTCTGTTGTAACCTGAACGGACTGCACACGTGAGAACTGTAGCCCATAAAACGCAATCACAATCTATACATTGGGGGGAATTTATCAAAACTGGAGCAGACAGAATCTGGAGCAGCTGTGCATGGCAACCAATCAGCTTCTCTCTTCAGTTTGTTCAGTTAAGATTTGAAAATGAAAGAGAGAAGCTTATTGGTTGTCATGCACAGCTGCTCCAGATTTTGTGTGCTCCAGTTTTGATAAATTCCCCCAATGTATAGATTGTGAGCATGCTGAGGAACATTCCATTGCTGACGTATAGGAGGAGAAAGGCTGGAGGGAGCGCTGCTATAGTCTGCCGGCAACGAGGAATGGGTAAGAAGGAGGAAAAAGCGATGGTGGCATGTTGCCAAATATATGGCTTGTGACTCCTGTTAGCAGCCCCTGAAATTGTATTATTTGCAGCAGTCCTGCTGTCCTAAGCCTCATGGCAAATAAAGCTGTGTCAGATATATCACTACACTAGTGGCATTAGATTGTGGCATTTGTGATGAGCAGAACTTACCTATATAATCATTAGATTTTCCAATATCATAGTCCCATACGGATATGTCCAGTTGTTTTTTTGCAAGATCGCTGTGCTTTATATCAAAGAAAAATTCCTGGAGGAAAAAGCACACACAATATGAAGCTTATAGTAAACCTTTATAAGAATTCGGGTGATAAAATCAAGAGGGAAAAATATACTGATTTTAAATCTTAGTTTTCTTAAAATTATAACCAACAAGCTTCAGGAAAGCGGTTTGCAGTTAACTATAAGTAATGTCAGTCACTTCTCTGGACCGGCAGTAACAATGCCGACCACTAGATGGCTTCTGCTGTCCTTCTTTATTCCTTCTTATCATGACTAAGGGCCTGTTCACATGATTTTCAGGTCCTGATCAGTTCTGGATCAATACATTATGTCTGTGGCTAATGCTGCCTGGAGATTCCTCCCTCTCCCCAGTTGTGTCTGCAACTACATTTTTTCAGTAATGGATGTTGCACAGTCTTGCACACTGACTGCAGCAGCCAGCTGGGGAGAACAATGAGGGAGGGGGTGGTGGGTTGTCATATATGGACAGAGGGGGACAAGAGCACCAATATTGAGAAGAAAGGGAAATCTACCTGCATTATATTAACCCCAACATATGACAAACTTTATTTGGATTACATGACCAGCATACAATACAGTTAGTCAACATACAAGATGTAAACATTAAATTTTATTTTTTTTGCTTAGTTGCATTGCGTTCCGTTTCCGTTCTGTTTTCGTTGTGTTTTTGCCGCGTTCATGCGTTTCCTGACCGGACAAAATGTGACATGCAGTATTTTTTCTGTTGTAACCTGAACGGACTGCACACGTGAGAACTGTAGCCCATAAAACGCATAGGGATACATTGGGATGCATTTTTAGTGCAGGAGCGTACGGATCACGTCAGCACAGAAAACGGACGTCGTGTGAACAGGCCCTTAGTGCTTTTAATAAACTAATACATGTTTCAAACAACATAGAAACAAGAGACCCAGCTAATTTCACACAGTGTAATCTATAGCACAGTCTGGAGGTCTAATTTCAGCTCTCCAACAAACTTTGATGTCAAATGTCAGTGTTCTAGATTTTATTGATAACCTTCGTGAATGGGCCATTTAAGATTCCTTGGATTTTTCTTGTTGCTATGGCTAAACACTAATCATGAAATACACTCACCATAGCCAGTGGTGTATCTACCACAAGGCAAACATGGCATTTGCCTAGGGCGGCACTTTCCAGGGGGGGCGGCAGAAAATGCTGCCCCAAACCAATGAGGTGGAAAGAGGCGGACTTACCTTTGGGCATACTGGGTACTTGCTCGGTGGGCCGAGGCTGGGCGGCACAGAATCAGGCAGTGGCGGCTGCTTAATGAGGCAAACTAGGAGGCCGCATGGCACTAAGAGTGGCTGCCTAATTAGAGAGCTGCCCAGTGGAGGGGAGGGCACAATGAGAGAAGGTCCGGCTGGCTTTGTACAGGAGGTGGAGGGGAAGCAGCAGGTGGCTCGGGGCTGGCCATAGCATGTGAGCTGATGGTGGGATGTCCCAGAAGCAGGCTGGTGGACTGCAATGTATCCTATTGGTACTGATGGCACTTCGGGCTGCTGGTAAGAGTAGCAGCACATGTATGCAGGGAAAGGGACTCTGCACAGCTCTCCTGAGACCATGCACAGCTCCCCTGGGACCCCGTGTTTGCTGTATCCAGTGACTGACAGGTTGCGCAAAATGTCCTAAACAGGAAGGGGTGGGGCAAATTTAGATTGGGGGGTGCCCGAGTTTAGTCTTGCCTAGGGCAGCACAAAACTAAAATACACCACCGATCATAGCTTTCATCTAGAGCATAAACTGGATCCGACACTAAGGCAGTTTACCAAAAACACAAGATAGCTGGATAAATTGATATATGATTGATATATACTGTATATGGTTCAAACTCCTATTTTCCTACTTTTGAGATTTCCCTTTATTTTGCATCCTGGAGACATAACAGGAAATTAAAGGACATTTCTCTAAAGTGAACAGAATTCCCATCCAAGGGAGTTATCACAGAAAATGATGTCCCCAGTGAGGAATGTTTTCTCACCTCTTGGTATCAATAACACAGGATAATCAACTGCAAACATTTTTTTACAGATCTTATCTTTTTTTATCCAAATTTGAAGGATATGGTGGTTAGTATATGTATATATGTAACCAGGTTAATACTGAGCTATATACTGTATGCGATGCATGGATTGGTATTTCCCTGCAAATGATACACATTCCTGTTTAATGTTTTAGAGACAAGTCTTTCCAGTGTCTATTTGAATAAAGGAAATTAATTCAGACCCTTAGCAAGTATGTCTGTGAGAAAAAGGTGGAAACCTACGTAGAGGGCTTGAATTGGTGGAGTATATGAAGGTATTTAAGTTGGATTTAAGGACCTCTGGTCTATTGATGGTGGTGGATGGAGTTATTTAGTAGTGAAATAGAAGAATGTATGTATTTATTTGTTCCTAGATTGGTGCATAACAGTGGGTGACCCTGTTGAGTCTCAAGGTACCCTCTCCCATTGGTCCCGCCAAGCTCCTGGTATAAGGAGGAGTTGTCTTCTCTCCTCCCGTCCGCACCGAGGAATCCTCACTGACCATAGAAGTCCCATAGTGAGTACTAATCAGGATGTAAAATCAAAACTAGAGTTTTTAATAAACAAATGGACTATGTTTATAATGTTTGTCTTTGTTGTATGTTTTTTGCATAAATGTTTATGAACTGTCCTTTTGAACAGTGTTAATTTCGTCGACTAAAAATTTTCGTCAGCTGCATGTTTTCAATGACGAATACTAAATGAAAACTAAATATAAACTAAGTGAATAGGACTAAAACTATGACAAAAATACATTGCAATTTTCTCTACTGGAGATTTAGTCGACAAAACTAGGACTAAAACTAAAGCAATTGAGATGACTAATATACGACCAAAACTAACGTGCCATTTTAGTTTTAGTCTTAGTCTTTTTGACTAAAATGCCATTTTAGTTTTAGTCATATTTTAGTCATCTAAATTGTTTTAGTTTTAGTCTAGTTTTGTTGACAAAATCTCCAAAATAGAAAATGTCAATGTATTTTTGTCATAGTTTTAGTCCTATTAACATAGTATTTTGCAGCTGACAAAAACTTTGACAAAAGTTTTTAGTCCATGAAATTAACACTGTCTAGTAGAGTTATTCACCTCCAATTCCCTGAAGAAGCACTTTGCAAAATGCATTGGAAAGACAGCATACCATTGACTACAATAACTCATGTTACTTATGTTGTATAAGAATTTATGATATTATATAACCAACCATGAGAAAGCGGTGTAATGAAGTAATAGATGCAGTGCATGTGGGAGGTTGGAGTTTGGTTTGGTTGGACAATATGGAACATGGTTGTGTTTTATGATGTATTTTTATATGTTTGTGTAATCAATAAATGTAAAGACGTTTATATATTATATTATAATTATGAGTATATTGAGTGCCGTTTTTGAAACCCCAGTTGATTTATCTTTTGTTATTGATACCATGTGTGTTATGGGGTTTTGCACTGTATTTGGACCATTTTGACTGCCCCTGGTTAACAAAACATTAGGGATTCTCGTCTCGTGGTGAAAACTTAGAAAGGTTGGATTTCCCCTTATTTTCTGTCTTTGTGACAATCATTACCAGGATAAATAAAGAGCAGACAGCAAGAAAAACTCATCAAGGAGTCTAACGCTTCTCTACTATATCCTAAACTAAAAACTGAATGAACTAGGTCAAAGGAAGTCAGAAAAGAAAAGCTGATTAAAATGTGACCAAGACTAGTGTGAAATGAATATCACTACAAAGCATAAACAATATGTGTTGTATATGTAACATTCTTACCTCATTGAACTCTGGGTTAAGAGTCTTTTTTTTTATCTGAGTCTTCTGTTTCGCTTTCTTTCCTCCTTCTGGTTTTAGAAACCTTTAAATGAAGACATGAACATGTTTGTACAGACTAGCATAGTTACTGCATTTGTTTATAGTTTAGGGAAAAATCTACTCTCAATTAAAAATGTCTATTGGCACACAAGCACGTTTTGAATTAAATTTTATTACAAATATTTTTCCATTTCAATCTGTAGTCCTCTCATTTTCTTAAATTGACCAGAAATTAAGGAGCTTGTTTACACTAGCTGCAAAGTAAAACGCATTTTACCATTTGGCTAGAGTCCGATAGATGGCAGCAGTGAGCCGCTGTGCTTGCTTTATTACAACGCAAGGCAGAGTCTTCTTTTTTTATTTTGTTTTCTTAACTTTATGTGGAATGTACAAAATTTACACTCCATTCATGTCTGCGCACGGCAGTGCTTTACATTGTGCTACGGTGACCTCCAGTGGCATTTGTACACTGTATGTGTACTACTCCTCCCACCAGAGAATTGTCTTATCTTTACTCAGAGTCAAATTTTAGACATCCCTGAAACCAAATTCATGGTTTTGGTGAGATTTGTCTGCAACTGTTTTCATTTATTAGGTCCTGGTATTGCTAGCAGTGGTTAGTCACATTCAACTGGACTAGTAGTGTTGATGTTTCAGCATTTTTTTCAAACTGGCTTTTAAATGAGAAAATTAGATCATGTCTATAACTGACCATGCATATTTGTTGAAGTCACAAAGCAGTTGAAAACATAAAATGGAGGGTTTGACCGCAAGGAGATTTAATGAAAATTGCTATAGTTTTTTCCTGTTTTGAACCTATTTTAATTCAGCCTTTCAAAAAACTGTAATAGTATTACTAACTCATTACTAACCTCCTTCTGAAAATGCAAGTTTCCTGGCTATGCAGACACACTGGCTATAACGCTCTCTGAATAACAGACCCTGGAGCAGTATGCCAATCAGAAAAGTAAGAGTAAAATCAGAAGACCTTTTTTGCATGTGTTCGTAGTTGATGACTCTAAGTACATGCATGCTCCCTGCAAAGCAATAGAGCCCTTTTTGGCTAGGAGTGTTGAACATCCATCTTCAAGAGTGAATGCTGTGCAGAGGATTATGCAAGTCCAGTATCCAAATAAATTAATTTACTCATGCTACTTTTATGTAAAAATACACATCCCAGTACTTACAGTTTAACAAATGGATCAGAGTAACCATTAGCATCCATTGCTGCCAAGTGAACACATCGGATAATGCCAATTATAAGCCCTCCTTGCTGAGTGTTGTACATCAAAGAGACCAGAATCTTTCCTCTGTCTTCTACATCTCCACCACGATCTGTCTGCAAAGAGGCACAAGCTGCTGAAATGCATTCAAGTTCATATTCTAGTTATATGTATACAAGCAAAATACTATAGTCAACATTTTTCTTTTATTTATGTAAACTGGAAGCTATATGTTATTGGGCAATTTTATTTTTTTTAATGTTCACATGTTTATGTCTTTATATATAATGTATTACTTGTATAAAACAATATTTTTTATACATTTAATCAATTTTTTTTTTACTAAACAATTCTAACTGAAAATCCTACATGGGCTAAGAGAAAGGGATGAGGATATGTCCCCCCCCCCTG